AACGGATACCGTATATACGATTGGTGGTCAACCATCCTTGTACACACGAAAGAACAATTGGATACGCAATCTTTTGCCTTTTTTTGCAAGCTATACAAAGCGTAAAGTTTCATACTTGTAAATTATAACAAATGACTGTTCTTATTATGCTGATGTGGACGAGTTTAATCCATCAAATTTCATCATTGTTTAAATTATTTTCCTAGACTAAAAGCTTTCACCCACCACTAGACTTTTTATGTATGTTTTGGGCTTATACGTAAAAAAAAATTATTATTTATTTTGAAAAATCAATGTACTCTGATACCAATTGAAAAATATAAATTGATTTGTTTTAAGTTATGTTTGAATTATAAATTTGGATAGAAATTTAGAAAGGAAAGAAAACAAGTGTGCGAAATGTGTATGACATATAACTATATTTCATTGAATATGCGGTCAGTATTATGCCCACAGCTCCTCGTGGTGTCCATTTTGAGTCATATTTTGATGATTTAAATTATTCATTTTTTTAGAAAATATCAAGTAGAATATATCTGAAAAAAATAAATTGATCGGACATCAATAATACCTTCATCAAATCACATTTGTTTTCAATTTTATATTGACAATCATATTTACAATTCATTTTTTTTTAAATCTACAAATATGATTTGATGATGTTATTAACATTTGATCAACTTGATTTTTTTTATAAGTATGCTTTACTCGATATTTTTAAAAAAATTAAAGGTTCGGGGCACAACCATTAAGAAAAAAACGAGCCACATTAAGCAAAGCAATTCTTATATATATATATATATAGATATCTTCTAAGATATTATTAATATTTTCTTTTAAAAAATATTTAGAATTTTTAAATGCGATGACTAAAATTAGTGGATCAGTATATCTGAAAAATATATATAAGCATTGTTATAGATTGTTAAATTTAATTATTTAAAAATTATTTGACTGTCATTTGTTAAAAATTCATTCAAAATCATTTTTTAAATAAATTAAATTTAAATATATTTTAAAATTTTAAAAATCTTCGAAACAATTTGAACTCCACTAGTTTTGATAAATTTTGTATCACAAAGAACTAAGCTATTAAATTTTCTTCAAAATTGACTTAAAAAATAATTAAGTCAAACTTAAATCATTTTAAAACTTGTTAAACTTTTTAAATTGAGCTTAAGGAACATACTTATTCAACTCGACTTAATTCATTACAAGTTAAATTTAAGTACATTTTAAAATTCATACGCATGTTTTATTTGAACGTGGTGACATTATTATAAATATTCTTTATTGTTTAAATAAAATAAAAGGCTAGAATTTTGTCAAAATTGGTGGGAAACTGGAGAAAAGGTAGGAGATGTCATGCAACATTAAGAAAATTTACTATACATTCCTTTCCATGTTCTCTTTACTCTCAAATACCTTACTGTCACCAAATTGAAGAAAATGATTCTTCATAAAACAAATAAATAAAATAATTATATATTTTTTTTCTTTAAATTTATAAACCAAATACAGACTAAGATTGAAGATGCTATTTGTGTGAATTGTGATCCTAACATCATTAACTGAAATTATAGAAGTGGACTAGTTTGTGCTCTGAGAGAATTGGCCTAAACAATCGGAGCCGACAAGACAACTGTTTTCGAATCTGAAGTGCAGTTTCCCTTCTCTATACCTATCTACCAATTGTAAAAATGACAATAAATTTGGGACAAAAATATTGCCGGAACTGCAAATTCGAAGTTGAAGAAGAGAATTTAGCACATATGTAATGCCCAGTACTTGCTAGAGCAAAACACATATTCTTACCTGTCCACTCTCAGTTCACACATGCTAAAACAAAAACAATGAAACAAACCATGCACAAGTTAAAAATGTTACATTAACCTTGTTCAGAGTATTAAATCTAACAAACTGTCATATCCCATTAACAGAAAATTTTTCAAGAGCAGTTGGATATCATCTTGAGTAACATCATGTAATTCATTTAAGAGTAGGCCCTTTGCCCAAAAGGAAAAAGGGGGTACTAATCGTTCAGGTGCAAAGTGAAACAGACAGTTCCAGAATGAAGGATGAAAAACGATTTATGTTAATATCCAGTGGCCAAATGTACACAAGGGATACGCTACTTTAAATGAAGAGCCCGCTGCTTTTATTTTTAATCTTCATTCCACGTGTGAAAGGCCGCCTCCACCTTCGGCCTTCGTCCTGCATACAAGCCCACCATTGATTTAATGGATAGAAAGAGCTAACTATGAGCATAATGCATTCACCTGTAATTTCATCATATACACATTGAGAAATATATTTCAGAATTTCACATGGCATCAACAAAACTATCTAGACATTAAGGACCTGTTTAATTAGGCAGATTATAACATAGGATTGGCATTATTCATCCATGGGACTCACATTCTATTGTTTGGTTGCAATTTTTGTTGTCCACGCAAAATTCTGATGAATATTATGCATCAAATGGACAATCAAGTATTCAAAACCTTTAGCCAAGGGAAAGAATACTTACTTGTGGTCAGAAGGATTGGGCATGAGCTCATAAACAATTGTTGCAACAACATCCCTCTTCAACTGTTAATTCATGGAGAAGAAAATATATCATGTAAATCAGCCACAAATCCATGGAATTGTAAAATTTTCGGTGAATTACCTGTGTAGCTTCACCCTTTAAGCCAATGTAATGTATCTGAGTTGCATCACCACCAAAATTTTCAGGAAAATGCAAGGTGAGATTTCCCACACCTTGGAATCTAGAATATCTGAATGAATATATAGATATACCGTCAAAAATAATCAGATAATGCAGCAAAAATCATGTGCCAAAGAAATGTTCCCTATCTTTAAAAAATGCATTGAGTTAATAATTAACCAATAAAAACCACTAAAAATGAAAAGATTGAATTTTCAGGGAAATGTATGAGAGACAGACAGACAGATAAAAACTTATCACACGGATAAACCAAAATGAAGTACTATTATGAATTCATCAAGGGGTATACAACTAAAACAGAAGCAGGAACAATTACTTTGTCTGGTACTCTAAAACTCCTTGCAAATTCTCCACTAAATCCCACTCCTGAAAACAATGAACAAATTTTCAGGCAGAAGTTGATAGTGCTAAGCTTAAAATCTCCAGCAAGCTTAGATGAATCCGTACCTGAATGGATTGCATATTTTGAGCATCAGAAAAGTCAATACCTTCCCGATTGATGAACCTGCATTTGTAAGGAAATTTTTTACTTCAAGCCATACATGAAATGTTAATGACAGCATACATCCCACCGAAAAAGCCTATCCTACAAAAGATAGGGTTCTTTTTTCAAAATCCAGCCAAATAATTAAAAATAGCATAAGGGAGGGCCTAGCCATTGTTGTCACAAAGAGAGTTGGTTTTCCTGATACTAAAGGTGTTAAAAAAATGCCCTAACTACAGATAAATAGAATAATTAAAAGCTTGAAGTTAAAAAAAGAAAAGAAAAGGAGCTGGTCTCCTCTCAAAAATAAAACTTTTAGTACTGTAGGAGTCTAGGGTCACAAGATCCTTTTCTTCAGCAAAAAGAAAGTCAGGTTGATTAATATTTATAGCATGCAAGTTGCAACATATTGACCTCACAGTAGGAGGACTAATAAAGATAAACTTACGCCCTCATTTTGGAAGGACTTGTTCCATCAGCGCCACCAACAACTGAAATGCTCTTGATTTTAACATCTGATGTAAATCTATTACCACATGACAGAAAAAACGATGTCATCAATGATTCAGGAAAACAAGACAATTGTTAGGCTAAACAGTTTCAAGCCTTTTTGGCTATTTTAGCCTGGGCTATTTTAGCCTGGTTTGGGAAGGGCTTTTTGGCTTTTTGGCTTTTTTGACTTTTTTTGTGAGAGAGGATTGTAATGATTATGGGTTGGATTTGATGTTTTGTTTTTTGTGGCTAAAATAGCCTATTTTATTTTTTGTGGCTATTTTAACCAAAAAAGCCTGACTTTTTTCTTCCCAAACGGAGCCATATTGTATTAGTTCAGCTAACATGCAGCATAAAAACTGTTAACCGGCCTACTAATGTCATGCACTACGTCGGAAACTTGATAATGACTTAATGAATTACAAAATTTTAATTTAGGAAAACGATAAATAAATAATATTGCAATTACTGTTGAAATGATATTATATGTCATTGATTAGAGCTTACCAAATGACAAGTACCATTTGGGAAACAAAAACATATTAGAAAAAAAAGGTTGGCTTTTTGGAAAGATGCCATGTTTATGACAAAAATTTCATACTTACAATACAAAATTCCCATTTACAGCAAGGTCTATAAGAATTAAGGAAAACATGTTTTACATGATTCTAAAATTGAAAAAAAAAAATGCTAAATCCATCTTGAAAAAAGTTAATAATATGTTAAAGGAAAAAAAAAAAAGAAAAAAAAATTAAAAAACAAAAAAAAAAAAAAAAAAAAAAAAAAAGAAATATTTTACAAACGTGAGGCCATGACAAAAAATAAAAGCAATCATTATTGTGCGTCACACATACAGTGGTAAAATGCCTCAATTGTCATTTGATCCAAAAATAAAACTACTTTGCTGAGGTAATAAATAACAATGAAGTCACTCCATAAGCAACCAAGAATAAGAGAAATACCTTAGAAGGTCAGATAACTTATTCAGGAATGATAATCATGATTCCAAGATGGATGAACACAAAAGCAATAATATAACACAGATTTGAGGATGTATGAAATCTTGTGAACAAGTACAAATATACCGGCACAGTGAAGGTCCAAAATAAAAAAAGAGCAGAAAATAGTAAAAAGCTATGCAAGTCCCAAATAAACTAGCCTAATAAAGTTCGAGTCAGCATGACTTATCATGTAAAGGGGGAAAAACTAGTGCCGAAACAGCAGTTGCTACTTACGGGATGAAAACCAGTAACTCAGGATCACCCTCATTGCTCTCCAAGTGACCCTGTTACAGGAAAGAAGGCCAATTAAGCGAGTTGCAATAGACTACCATCAAGAGTTTACAATTACGGAAGGCTGGCCCTCATCATGTAATACACTATCCCCTATGAAGCACGGGTACTCCGAAATGTCCCCCGTACGTGTCGGATACATATCAGATACGGATAGGCGTCCGATACGGCGGGATACGTATCAGATACGGCCATAGTTGTCAAATCGGAAATTCGTATCGTAAATTGAAATGACCTCATACCAAATTGCGAATTAAATTGAATCGAATCGTGAATCGTAAATCGTAAAGATTCGGTCACTTTTTCTAAATTACTTAAAAACATAGATCTACACATTTAGATATTAAATATATCTTGTGAATATAAAATATTTAGACTTAAATCTATGAAAATGTTATTTTGAATGATAATCACGTAGTTTAATAGGTAAGAAGTTAAGAAAAGTTCCTATGTAAGATCACCATCTTACCTTTCTTTCTTTTTTAGATATTTCTTATCAATCATTCTTAATAAAGATAATAACCAAATAGACAAACTATCAATTTCTAAAGTAACAATAATTAACAACAATATTGATATTTGGACAATAAGTATACATACTTTTCTAAGTAACAGTGAACAAATAATAAGAAAGAATTATTTAGAATCTTGTATTTTAAAGCCTAAAACATTTTAAAAGGTATAACTGATCTTACACATATAATATTCAATTTAATAAAGTAGCAATAGATAATTCATAGTGTAACTTTAATCTTAAACATCTTTAGAAAATATATTATGATTTTTTAAAGGGAAAAAAAATGAGAAGAAATTTAAAAATATGTTGGGTCTGATTGAATCTGATTGAATCCTATTAAAAACTCCATGATCGCTAAAATAACAACAAATCATGTATATACATTAGTTATTTTGGTACTAAACGCTACTAGAAGTTGTATTACGTCATTTTCACTAAAAAAATGGACAAAAAAGAGTCAAAAATATGTCAGGCACAATGATTTCAAAAATTGCATGGATCGTAAAAAGTGTATCGAATCGTGAATCGATTGTAAATCATGCAATTCACTAGAGATTCACTTCCAAAATAGATTCACCCATAGATTCATATCGATTTTGCAAAAATTGCAAATCGAATCGCGAATCGTAAGATTCTAATAACAGAGGATACGGCAAAGAAGTACCCCAATTTTTTTTTTTAATTTTTTGAATTTTGGATATGTTTGAGATACGCGAGGATACTTCAAGGATACTTTCGGGATACGGCAGGGTGAAAAAATAATTTTACAAACTTATAATGTAAAATAACAAAAGTTATCTAAAATAAAAATAAAATAAAATAAAAAAACCCTAGCTTAGCTCAACCTCGAAGCAGCAACAAGAGTCATTGTCGTCTCTATCGTTTCTATAGCGATTCGCGAACAGCAGCAAGGAGGAGGAGTCTTTGATCAAGGTTCGTCCTCTCTCGCTCTCATTCTTGCTCTCGTTCTCTCTCTTGCTCGCTCGCTCGCTCGCTCACTCTCACTCTCTCACTTTTCTGTCTGTGTCACTCAATCTCAGTCCCTCTCTCGCTCAATCTCACTCTCTCTCTATCACTCTCTCCCTCTTGCTCAATCTCACACTGTCTCCCTTTCACTGTACTAAACTAACCCCTTTGAATTTCTTAATTTTTTTTATCTTTTTTTTGCAGCTAAACTAAGCTACTAGTACCCACTTTTTATTTTCTCAAAAGACAACAACATCAAGGAGCCTTGTGAGTTTTTTTTTTTTTTTTGATCATTGAAACGATAAATTTTTTTCCCCCTTAATTTGAATTGCATTATGGTTGTCATAAGTGATGCTATATTGGTGGAATTGCTGAAATTTTATTGAATTGTTGAATTTTTTTTTTGATGTTCATGCCAAAAGATAACTACATTAATGTTTTGTTTTGTTTTATTTCTTTACCAAATTTATAAATTTTAGGAAATGAGTTCGGGTACAGGAAGTTTAGGTTCAACAAGTGGCACACCAATGGAAGAAGATGATCATGCTCCTCTTTGGTGTTATGTTACAAAAATGGAAAAAATAGGAGATGGAGGTGGTAATATCAAGTTTAAATGCAATTACTGTCAAAATGAGTACAAGGGGTCATACTTTAAGGTCAAGGCACATTTGTTAAAACTTTCTGGCCATGGGATTAGAGTGTGCCCCAAAGTGACTCCTCGACATCTTGCTAAAATGCATAGGAAAATTGACGAAGCCGAGAAGAGGTTAAAGATGGCTGTCTAAAAAAGTTCCTTTCCCACCTTTCACTTGACAATCTACTTCAATAGGTTCAGGGCCTTCAGATACTGGAAGATTTAGGATGAAGGGGTATGAGCCAAGAAAAAGAAAGGCTACTGAAACTTCTGCTCTAGAAAAGGCATTCAACCCTGTTATTCAGGAATAATTGCATTATGAGATTGCTCGCATGTTTTATTCAGCGGGGTTACCTTTTCATTATCAAGAAACCCATATTATGTTAGTGCTTTTCAATTTGCTGCCAACAATCCAATTCCTGGTTATGTACCACTTGGTTATAACTTGTTAAGGACTACATTGCCTCAAAAGGAAAGGGCCAATGTAGAGAGGTTGTAGAAGCTAACTAAAGCATCATGGAAGGAAAAGGAGTTGAGTATTGTTTTAGATGGATGGACTGATTCTCAAAGAAGGCCTCTTATTAATTTTATGGGAGCATCAGAAGCTAGGGCAGTGTTCTTGAAAGCTGTTAATTGTGAAGGCGAGCACAAAGACAAGTTTTTTATTTCCAACTTAATTAGTCAAGCAATTGAAGAAGTTGGACATCAGAATGGCATTCAAGTCATTGCAGATAATGCTCCCGTGTGTAGTGCAGCTGGTTTACTCATTGAAAGTAAGTACCCGAATATCTTTTGGACACCATGTGTAGTTCACACACTGAATCTTGCTCTTAAGAATATTTGTGCTCCAAAGGAAACAGGGGGTATTGCTTTTGCTTATGATGAATGTCACTAGATCACACTTTGTGTTGATGATGTGATGTTTATCAAAAACTTCATCATGAACCATCCCATGTAGCTAGCTATTTTCAATGAATTCGTACCCTTAAAGTTACTTGCTGTTGCGAACACACGTTTTGCATCTGCCATTGTCATGCTCAAAAGGTTTAAGCTTATAAAGCATAGCCTCCAATCAATGGTTATTAGTGACCAGTGGGTTTCTTACAAAGAAGACGATGTTGGGAAAGCAGCATCTTTGAAGGAAAAATTATTGAATGATGTGTGGTGGGATAAGATTGATTACATTTTGTCTTTTACATTGCCTATCTATGAGACGCTTAGATTTTGTGACACTAACAAACCATGCCTTCACTTTTTTTTTTTATCAGCAAAAGAAAAAGACTTATTAATGAAAAAAATAAATTACAAGCAAAGACACATCAACAAATCAGGGAAGTGCACAAGCATCATACCTAACCTTCACAATCCCAACTAGGTTGGCACCAAAAAGGAAGCACAATCATATGCAAGCACTTAACCCAAGATTGGCGAGAAGCCAATCTTGGTATGGAGTAAACCATGCCTTCACTTAGTCTGTAAAATGTGGGACACCAAAATTGAAAAGGTGAAGGCAAGCATCTTTAGGCATGAAGGGAAGCTAGATCATGAGGAATCAATATTTTATTCTGTTGTGCACAATATACTAGTTGAGAGGTGGGCCAAAAGTAACACTCCTCTTCATTGCCTTGCACATTCTTTGAATCGGGGGTAATAACTTAATCCATACTCTTACTAATTAGATTTCTTTGTTCACATTTGTCTTTTAATATGAATAACATAATTTAATTTTGAAACTTTCTAATGTTGTAATCTAGGTATTATAGTTCAACGTGGCTTAATGAAAATTCCAATCGTGTCCCTCCTCATAGGGATGAAGAAATTTTAAGTATAAGAAACAAGAGCTTCAAGAAATACTTTCCAAATTTAGAGGAAAGAAAGGTTGTAAATGTGGAATATGCCAGGTTTTCAGGAGGTTTGGATATGTTTGGAGATTTTGACTCAAAGATTGATAAAGGAGTATTGGATCCACTTATTTGGCGGTTTACACATGGGTCTCCTGCTTCTATGCTTCAATCTTTAGCGTTAAAATTGTTTGGCCAGCCATGTTCCTCATCATGCTGTGAAAGGAAGTGGAGCACCTACTCCTTTATTCACTCCATGAAAAGAAACAAAATGACACCACAACATGCTGAAGATTTGATTTTTGTGCACAACAATCTTCATCTCCTATCAAGGAGAAGTCGACAGTACATTGAAGAAGAAACCAAGTTATGGATGTTGGTGGAGATGTTTTTGATTCATTGGAGGGTGCAGGCTTACTTGAAATTGCAATTATTTCTCTTGATAAACCAGATTTGGAAGCTGTGATATTCACTGATGAAGGGGAACAAGTTGAAGCTATTGACCTTGAAGACTCTTGGCTTTATAAGAATCTTTCTTTTTTATTAAGTTGTCTTTTGCTTTAGGTTTTATTTTTATGCATACTACATTTCTAAAATTGTAAAAATAATATTTTTTACGAACATATCCCCCGCTGTACCCGTATCCTAATTTTTCAAATTTTGCCGTATCACCTTATCCGTATCGTATCGTACCCATATCCCGTATCCGTGCTTCCTAGACTATCCCTCAGACCAAATACATGCAAACCAAAAACACACACATATATCTATAGATACATGCACACACCAAAGGACATAGAAGAATACTCTAAATTCTGTAATAAATAAAAAAATACATAAAAACAAGAATGGTAGAAAGTATCGAGTGAAAAGTGCCAGTACCTTGAGATAAATTGATGTCTACTATGCTATATATGGATAGAGCAGTTTGTTTATATTCATAAATAAATAAGCTGATAAGGTTGAAAATCCACAAAGGAAAAGTAACTATGATGCACGTTAATCAGTTAATTAGTAAAAGAAACATTTAGGTAGTTACAAAGTACATCATAGTTTTAGATCAAGCAGACAATTTTACAAGAGGAAGAAGGTTAAGGTAGTTAAAAAAGTAAATAATATGTATAATTTTTTTTTTTTTTTTTTTTTTTAACTTTCTGCCCAAGTAAATAATCCACTGAAAACCATTAAAGTATACAAAAGACCAAACAATTAAGGAAAAATGCATCTCTCCCAAAGTACTGATACAAGTGCATGAAGTTTAAGCAATGACAGATTATAACGATGCTTCATATTTTCATGTAAATAAAGGAGGTTATCCATGATGGAAACACGAGGTCATGTTATGGTAATTTTGACCTCACTCACAATTTGTGCGGCATCCAACACCCCATGTTTCTTCGCACAGCAACACAATCTTTGCGAGGCCACAATGTCAAAAAGTGCACTACAAGGTTATTAAAAAGCATTCTTTAACTTTAAGCATCCTTTTGTAATTGTGCGAACTACTAAAAGCACTTTTTGTTGTTGTGCTTTGTGCTTTAAAGCACACTTTTGCCAACACTAGTTACCAGATGTCGGTTTTGTTCAAACAAGAGCATACAACTACAAATTAAATAAGATTTTACATTTATTTTGAGACTGCAAATAATGCCAGTGTGGCCAAGACATAAATCACTAAGAAAAACTAACTGCTTTTACATTTCGACAAACCATGTGAAAAATAGAAGAAAAGTTAATGTCCAAATCAATATCCTCAAAACTGCAACAGAATATTAATAGAACATGATTCAGTATATTCAAATACATAATGAAAAACAGAATAAAAATAAAGGTCCAAGGGCTATTATATAGATCATTTATCAGCCCAATTAAAAGAAAAGGAAATAACAGATTTTGATCCTCACACAAAACCTACCTCTGAAATATTTAACCGTTGTTCCCAAGCTTTAAAAACTGACTTGACACTTCCTGGAACAGCCTCATTCAAAGCAGAAACCTGTGGCACATCAAAACAGGAATTATGTTTGACATATCCTCAAAGAGTAGCTAACTTAAAAGTGCTATTGAGTTGATCAATGAGTAAGAACTCCAGAACATATAAAAATTATGAGATAATAAATGAAAGGTTAAAAAATGTAAGCATAGGCATAAGTTGCACCCCTCACACGTGCACACACGAAGAGAAAGAGACATTTCATATTGCTTTATTTGAGGCCTATGTTTATATATATGTGTGTGTGAGTGAAACATTAATTCCCAAGCACTATAGGATGTGAAAATTGGCACGTAAGGCTTGCAGCTCCTTGTTCCTTTCAACAGTCAATCCAGGTACTACGGTTACATTTGGGAAGCGGCTAAATTAGCCAAAATATTAAAAAGCCAATTTTATTTTTAAATTTTAAAAAAAAAAATCAAAGATTTCTCCCTATTCTCTTTACTTTTGCACGTCTTCCCGTAAAAAAAATCATTATCAAAGACTTCCATTTTTTTCTGCTCATATTTTAGCCCAAAAAACACAGAGACAGCCTCTCCGCTTGCGGAGGTAAGGCTGCGTACATCAACCCTTCCCCAACCCTTCCCCAGACCAGCTTTGTGCACTGGGTACCCCTTTTATATTTTAGCCAAAAAAAACCACTAAAAACCCCACTTCCCAAACAATCACTAAACACAAAACAAGCACTAACTGAGCATCAGGAATTCAAAGTTTGCAATTTGAGTTAATGGGTCATTGTCAAATGATATAATCTGGAACAACAGAACACAATTGAACAATAGAATTTACAGGGCACAACAGAGAAAGCAAGATCAAAACAATTTGAATCAATGGGTCATTGTTGAAACACGTGTACACACGTAGATTTTACGTTTTGGAGCCTCATATGAAAAATCAAACTTAGGGTTTTGCCCAAAATTGACAAATCAAATCGAAAGCTGTCACTAAATAGCAGTTATACTTCGCAGTAATAAAAAATAAATAAAATAAAATAACAAAAGCGGTGTAAACGGAATAAATGCATAGAAATTTTAACCTTGGAGAGGTCTACGTGTTTGTAGAGAGAAAAATCAGCCGAACAATCGTGATCTTCGCAACTATGGTCGTGCAAGCAAGCCATCTCTCTCTCTCTCTCTCTCTCTCTCTCTCAGAGAATCGCAGAGATAGAAGAAATCAGAATCGCTTTTGCTTGCTAAAGCAGCAACTGGAAATGGGCCCAGATGGTTTTTCGTATCGAAGAGAAAACGGGTAAATTTGAACCGGCATAACAGATGTTTCGGATTTGTTTGGAACTGATCAATTTAGGAGTAACTACAAATTTATCCACAATCATCATGTAGGAAGGGAATGAAACATGGAGTGTGATAAACTAAAAATTAATATTTATCTTGATATATTATTATAGGTTAAAATTTAAAAAAATTTGGATATTTTCAAATATTTTTTTTAATTTAATAATTTTTTTAACTTTTTATAAAAATATGTGCTAGTGGTTAGGGTTGTGTAAAATACTACTCAATTGATTAAAACTACACTAATTTGCATTAATCTGTATCGCTATATCCATTAACTGTGATTTAAACTTTAAAATTTTATAATTTGTCTTTGAAACCGCTCAATTTCGCTATAGTTAATACATATAGTACATATTTTTAACCTATAATGAAATATCAAAATAAAAATTAGTGTAAAATATATTTAATATGTGAAATTTATTATAAATTCATAGTTATATATGAAAAATATTATATAAAATTAATTTGTGTTATATATAAAAAAAAATATTATACAATTAGTATTATATATTAGGCAAATGTATAGTAATTAGTTTGAATATTTTTCAATTCTTCAATCTGCTAAAAATCGCTCAAATTGTAATTTGTTAATCCGTTAACCCGCCATTCGATTTATAATTTTACAAGTAAATCGCTCGAACTGCACTGCTCACACCCCTTAAGAGAGTGAGAGGAAGAAAAAAAATAACCCATTTAAAAAAAAATTCCTGAAGTATGAAAGTAAACATTTTGTAGAAAGAAATAAAATAACATATACATTTTCCTAGAAAGAAAGTAGAGGAAGGAAGAAAGAGAGTAAACAAAGTAATGACCCTATTTGTTTTGGTGGAAAATATTTTTCGACGCAGAACATTTTTTTATGAAATATCTATCATAGAGAACATTTTCCTATATTCAGTTGTGACCTATAAACTAATTTTTATCTAAATAAGTTTAACTTTTGTTTTTCTTTGTTGTACCAAATGTCAAAAAAAATACCCAAACTAAAGAATTAGTCATTGCAATCTCCAACTTCCAAAGACGAAGATTCATTAGGCTCTATTTTCACATTGCTATAAAAAACAAAACTGTAACATGTAGGAAAATGTTCATTCAGATCAACATTCTCAAAAACACATTACAACAAACAACTTACAGAAAGAAGATCAACTCCAGCTGGTTAAAGATTAGGAACGTATTCTGCTAGGTTCTGCATCAAAGAAAGGGAAAGCGACAACAAATTTTACAACTCGATGATTTGCAAAATAAATAAATAATGAATCAAAAATCCATGTTACCTTAGGATCTTGCTTGGGAAAGTCATCAGGTATGTAATCCGGTAGTGAGGTCACTCCAGGCCATGTTGTTGCATCTGGTGTCCCCATAATGCTGCAATAAAAATAAACTGAATATAAATATGCCTTTAGTGGAAAAATATAAATAAATAAAAAATGATGCGGTGCACATAAGCACACCTAAAAATTTTTTGCAGACGATCTTTCTCGAAGAATTTATTAAACAGATGCCGATGATTAATCATCTCAGCAAATATACAGCCTACAGACCACACATCGACATGGGTGGAGTATAAGTGGGAGCCAAGGAGGATTTCTGGTGGCATGTAATATAAATTTACTACCTGATGAAGAAAACTACCCATCATATTAGATTCAGAAAAAAACAATTGACATTTAAAGATC